TTTTATGCATTTAATTTCGTATTTATAATTATTTTGTGTAACCCGTGCCTTTTAATTGTGATATTTGCTTAACTAGTCTTCTTCTGCATTTAATTTGGTATACGTCGGCGCCTTGCTTCTGTCAACGTTTAGACCCCCTCCCCCTCCTTTTCCTCTTACCGACTTACAGGGTCAATTTACTTCTTTTCCCCTCCTTTTTTTCCCTTTTTTATTTTCTCCCCCCTTCTTTTCTTAAAATACCTCTTCCATAAACTCATTCCTCAATTCTCAAAATAATATTTATGTTATAATTTACTGCTACAAGAAAAATACATAATATTGCGCTCGGTCATCATCGCAATTGACCCGCAAGTCTTGCACTGTGCAAGCGCAAGGATGAGCTCCTTGTTTTGCAAGTTTGGCCTTGTGCCTCCCTGACTCTATCAATGATGACCATAACTTACCTGGCTCGCTTCACACTCACACATATATTTAATTTTGTGAGACCAGGGACGGTCTCCTCCGGAAGGGGGAGATGTAAATATATAGTTCTAATTATAAAAATTATATAACGTCTTTTTTTTCCTTTTTTTTACCCTATGATTCAGGAATGCCAATCGCATTCCTTTGTGTTTACATTTTTCTCATTTTCGTCCTATCCCTTTTTTTCATACCCACAAAAACCATTTCATTTCCCAATTATCATCTTCCTCATCTTCTTTTGGTCCCCCTACCCCTATTTCCTTTTCCTTTATCATTCCCTTTTATCACCCATTTCCCCAAATTCCCAAATTCTTCCAAATCATTACATCATCCCTTGGGGCGGGTCCCAACTCCCTTTATAAACCTCTTCTCCTTTCTTCTTGGCCTGAGTTCTTCTTCTCGACTAGGACAACCTCGTCAACCTCGCCACGCCAGCTACGATTACGGCTAACCCAACCGTAGACTCGACAGACTCGACTCGGCTCTTCATCTCCTCGAAAGGACTATTTCCCCTCGCAGTCCCGTCCTCGGATCTCTTGCTCAGCAGGCCACTTTGTCGTCAGAACCCAAGCATCGCGCCTTGTGTATTATTGCTGTTGTCTGCTTGCAGTAAGTAAGACATAAATTTGTTACTTATTTAATTGGCCCTCCAGTCTACGCACCACGCCACACAGCGATCCACACACGTAAAACAAT